AGCTACTGCCGATTTTTCTGATTGTTTTAGTTCACAGTGTCTTTCAAGTTCTTTGATTCTAGTGCGGATGCTGCATTTTGTGGTCCCAATATATACCTGGCCACAACTGCAAGGTATCTGGTATACTCCTGCAGTGGTGAGGGGATCCTTTTGTCCTTTGCTTACTGTAACATTTGTTGTATTTTTGTGGTGACCCTGAATATTGTTTGTAGGTTGTGTTTTTTTAAAAGTTTCCCCATGCGGTCTGTGACCCCTTAGTATGGCAGAAATACTTTATTTGAGGGTGGATGTTTTTCTTCTTCAGCTCGGTGTTGTTTTCTCAGTTCAATGGCTCTTGTGATTCCATTCTTGGAACAGCTATTTGCTTGTAGGGCCCAATTCAGATGGCTGAGTTTGATGCTGAGAAATTGAGCTTCACAGTTACGATCTGCACGGTTACAAGTGTTTTGATTATGCCTCTTTTTTGTCGTGGGTGGAGTTATTGTGTAGGAACCAGTCTGTGGGGTGGGTTTTCTGTAGACCTTGTGTCCCAATAGGAGGTCAGGTTTGCGTATGACAATGACATCTAAGAGAGGGAGTTGGTCCTCTATTTCTTTTTTCATGGTGAATTGTTTTTCTGGGTGGATTCTATTGAGATGGTTTAGTAATTCTTCCAGTTTTTCTTCACCGTGCTCCAAACTGAGAAGGTGTCATCCACATATCGGAACTCTTCGCACGCACAGTCAGGTTCTGATACGTGGATGACACCTTCGCAATTTGGAGGCATGGTGAAGAAAAACTGGAAGAATTTCTAAACCATCTAGATAACAAATCAGACACACTCATGAGACAGACACTCACTTCCTGAGACTGCCTTCCCACACCCCTACCATGAATAATGATTGTGCTTGGAATGTGTTTTTCTGGACTACGAATACCATAAATCTTCATTCTGGGAGTTCCAATGACCTTACAGATACATCTAAATGTGATGCACTTGGAAGTAAGGCCTAAGTTGTAAGGCTCTGAGACTCAGCTAGGTCAAGTTTTGCCCATGCTTCCTGAGCAGAAATAAAGCTTCTAGCTAGTACCAGGGCAGGAACATGAAGCTTGGCCTAGCTAAGCTTCAAAGCCTTCTCATTTAGGTATTTCTCTCATAGGTACCACATTTAAGTTCTGTAAGATACCTGTAAGATAGGTGGAACTCCAAGAATGGAGAACTATGGCATTTGTAATCCAAAATATATGAAAATCTCATCCCTAAAGGTGTTCTTCACAAGTGTTATATTTGAACCAAGGTTAATGCTAACAACAGCTACCATCAGAATTTGCAGGCCAATGTTAAAAACTGATTTCAGAGGCTGCCTAAACCTGGTTAGCATTGTCATCAGTGCAAATCTTGTTTTATACTGAATTCTGAAAAGGAAAAAGGAGCAACTGGTGTAGGAAGGAGAAAAGAAAATGCTAGAAATGAAGGGCACTCTACTCTCTGAATTGTGCTGCACAGAACAGGAAACGGTCTGTATCCACTGGGTAAATATCAGAGCATCTACCACAGTTGCTAAATGGAAACATTCACAAAATGATGTGGTCAATACAGAGGCAGGGCTTGTACAGCTTGTTGCCCATGACATTACACCATTATTTAATTATAGGTACCTCATATTAACCATCCCTTAGTATTAACCATCCTTTAGTATAATAAAAATATAGAAAGGGGAAGGAAATCGTATGTTTCTAGTGACAACTTATGATTTTGAGTTCTAGGATTCCACCCCCCCCGGAACAAGAATCATTCCTAAAGGGAGGGCATCAAGCTGCTTTTGTTACAAATCACCCATGTGTTCATAGCTTTAAAAAAACTTGTGCTGTACACACTGTAAAGTAAATGGAAAGCATTGTTGAACTCTTAAAACACAATCACATTAACATCTTCTCCCCATTAATATAATCATGTTTGCTTTTTATTTGACACAGTTCTTATTAGCTGTTTCTGCCTTAGCCTGTCTTCCTGTCTCAGGTTGACCAGCTATTACAGATATGTGCACTACAGGCTGCAGCTTCTCAGTTTCCCTGAGGCACCATGACATGTCAACTCACTGACATCTTCCTTCTGATACAATGATGAAATAAACCTTCCCTGAGCTAAAGAGATAGCAACACGAAAACCAGTCAATCACTGTATCTATGTTGTTTTGGAAAGCATGCACAAAATAGCCATGTGTTTGAATCTGCACAGTTCCAGCAAACATATATTATTATTTTTTTAAAAAAAAACTCTCTAACCTCTTCCTACAACAGGAACAGACAACTCAATAGCCTCTGAATTCTCTTTCTGTTCCTCCTGGCACTTCTTTCATGCTGCTCCCCAACTGGTGCCACAGCAAGCCATGTTGCTGAACCTGCACTTAAAACCACCAGTTTGTCCCTGCCTTTGTCTGTCCTTTTGCTTCTTTCAGGTGTAGGGATCTGATAGATTCTGTTCTCTGTAGCTTCACAGGACTCCATATGAGGCAACAGCCTTACATCAAAGAAACACTGCAGGAGGAGAATGGCGTGGCCCCTGGAAGACTGTGGGGGATCCAATGTAGCTCTTGAACATCATAAAATAAACCACAAAATCCAAGCACAGAGGCACATTATTTTCTACTGTTTGAAATGCTGACATTGACACTGTACTGTGTACTGTAATAATTTTTAAAAAATTCTCTCATGTGAATAAAAATTAACTGGGGTTTTCTGGTCATGTTTTGTTATAAACCGCTTGAAGTATAATGTAAAACACACATTTATTTATATAAAATACTTTTATCCTGCCTTTCTTCTTAGAAGGACCAAAGGCAGCTAAATGGCAAGGACTTCAGCATTCAGCAATGCAAAAATCACAATTATGTAGAGATAAAATCAAGCCTATGTCTAAACGGTCCTCTACTATTTTGTTCCAGCTGAAGAAAGATAATTAATCTTTCTCCATTCCTTCATTCAAAAAAGAAAAGAAAAGAAAAGAAAGAAAAGAAAAGAAAAGAAAAGAAAAAAGGGACATTTACAGGAACATCATGGGAGAAGATAATGCTATTCAATGCTCTACCCCAGCTATTGCCAAATAGAAGGGGAACAGATGGAGGCAGTGACAGATTTTACTTTCGTGGGCTCCATGATCACTGCAGATGGAGACAACAGCCAAGAAATTAAAAGATGCCTGTTTCTTGGGAGGAACGTGATGACAAACCTCGACAGCATCTTAATAAGCAGAGAAATCACCTTGCCAACAAAAGTCTACATAGTCAAAGCTATGGTTTTCCCTGTCGTGATGTACGGAAGTGAGAGCTGGACCATAAAGAAAGCTGACCGCAGAAGAATTGATGCTTTCGAATTGTGGTGCTGGAGGAGACTCCTGAGAGTCCCCTGGACCACAAGGAGAACAAACCTATCCGTTCTGAAGGAAGTCAACCCTGAGTGCTGACTGGACGGACAGATCCTGAAGCTGAGGCTCCAATACTTTGGCCATCGCATGAGAAGAGAAGACTCCTTGGAAAAAACCTTGATGTTGGGAAAGTGTGACGGCTAGAGGAGAAGAGGACGACCGAGGATGAGATGGCTGGACAGTGTCTGCGAAGCAACCAACACGAATTTGACCAAACTCCAGGAGGCAGTGGAAGATAGGAGGGCCTGGCGTGCTGTGGTCCATGGGGTTACGAAGAGTCGGACACGACTAAACAACAACAAGCATGTATAACTGTGGTCTACCATTATATTTTGACCTACAACTCCCAACAACTGTAGCCAACACAGCCAATGTATCCAAACACATGTACAGCATCCATATATGCAAAGAAAAGTGTTAGAATGCAAACGTCAGGCCACAATTTGGGCTTGTAGAATTTGGGAACATGTTGTAATGTGAACAAAGCTTGTTCCATGGATAATATTTACCTTGCTTATGGATGACCTAAATTGTGTTAATGTTCTTACAGCACTCTTATTAAGATATAAGAGATTAGCTTTTGCTTACAATCACAAAAAAAAAATCTTGCAATAATTTCTGCTGAAATAATTTCTACCCACTCCAAGAATTACAGCAAAAACATAAATTACCCGGCCCCTGTGTTTACACAGATGTTTAAAATATGTACAATCCTTTAATTTCTATATGAAACCTGCTTAATAATAGCTACGCAAGTGAAGACACACTGAAGACGCATCACCAAGAGAAAAGAGCTGCTTCTGGCCCTTATTTTGTTTGTCCTTTTACACAAAACGTTGTACCTCTATGTGCATACTCAGAGACGTACACATAACCCCAGCTCTAACTTTTTCTGGAAGAAACTGCAAATGTACTTGTTAAATATACAGGTATAATAAAGGTATCTTTAGTCCACAGCTCCCAGACATCACCCTGTAAGAGGTCTTACAATGGATCCAAATGTGCATCATCTTGGAGAGCAGGGACCCCCAGGGTCACAGAGTGAAGACCCGAGAACAGAAGTCAAGGAAGCAAGCTTATGCCAGTCGACAAAGGCTAAATCCTTAGGGATTAACATTTTCACCTCTCAAGGCATGACCCCCTGTGGCAACAAAAGAGGGCACGGCTAACGAGGAAGGCCACACACCAGGTGGACTGATGACAAAGCCACAGACTTGAGTTTGCAAGAGCTGAGCAGGTCTGTTTCGGAGACTTATAGGGGGCGGCTTGAGGGCATATAACAACAACAACCACAACAACCCGTGCTACATCACGGCACTGAGGCCCAATACTCATGCAAGCGGCAGGGGCTCTGGAGAGGCCTGGTTCTTTTAAAAGCCAGCATCCTTTAAGATCGGGGGGGGGCCCTCTCGGGGCTCCAATGGCCCAGGTAGGGCGCCGCCGCCGCCTTTGAGCCTAGGCCCCGACCATTCCCCTCAGCCTTTCTCCGCAGTGAGGGCGAGGGCCCCAGGAAAGAAAAGGCGGCGGCGGCTACTGCCCACCTCCTCCTCCTCCTCCCTGCCCTGCCCTGCCCTGCTTGGCAACCGACTCCACTCACCCGTCAGGCCGCCCCCCTTGCCGTGGCCCCGCCGCCGCTGCAAGAGAAAAAAGGGGTTGGCCCTCTCGGTCACCCACAGCGCGTTGGCCAGCAGGACTTCCTCGGGGCCCAGCCACATGATGAGGAGGAGGAGGAGGAGGAAGAGGGCGACGAGGGTAACGCGGCACCGC